ATAGGTCGTCGGGTAAATGTATTAAATTATGATGGTTTAAAGTTTGGGATTTTTCACCGTATAATGACGGTAGTAAATACAAGAATTTTTTTAATAATTCTTTTTCATAATCATTAGGAGTAATCATCAAATCTTTGCTGTGTAAAATTCTACAGGCAACAACAAAAAGTAGAAAATGGTCATAAGTATCCTTTGGTAAAATATTTTGAAATATAMSCGGTCCACAATAAATTAAAACATAACGATATTGTGTCGCTTTCCACCTAGCTAGGTCATTTATGTCAAATAATTTTCGCTGAAATTCAGAAGGGACGTGACTCGTTAATGACAAAAATTTCATTTAAAGAGACTTTACAACTAATTTTTTCAAACGTGCTTTACTTTTTCGTAATATCCAAGATTCCATCAAAGTCTTCATCACACCAAGATATAGTAGGTGCATTGAATCCAATACAACACCGTTGACAGGATCAAAACCAGGGATTTTAGTTAAAGGAGACTTTAAATTACCCGTTTGATGTTCAGGTTGCATTTTTTTTTTAAAGAATTTTTTGTGCGAAGTTCGCAATCCATTTCAGGGTATACTCTTATTTTTTTTTTTCACCTACAGACACTCCTTCTGTGGTACATCTTTCACAAGCATAGAAAGTGCCTGCTGGCTTGCAACGTTTTATGAATGATCTAGCTTGTGAATCCGCAACGATAGCAACTATTTTGAAATCATAATTATTTCCTTCAATATTAATACCTGATTTAATTAACACTTTAGAYTCTTTCACAAAGTCCGACAGATATTGATTTACATTAGCAGGTTTTGAGTCTCCGCAATAAATAGCAGCTATGAAAGGATGAGTAATATACTTTTTATTAATAACCTTAACAGTAACAGGCCATACTTGAATTTGAGAATTTGTATAGACCTGCATACCGTCAATATGAATTAATACATTAATGGTGTCTTCAGTAAATATATGTGGAGTTATAATTTTGTTTAATCCCTGTGCTATACCTAAATACTTATAATCACAATTAGAGTCTTTTAAACTTAAGGCAGGATTCTACTTTAGTCGCTCGAAAAAAGAGGTATTTTTGTCAATTTTGATTAGAAAACTAAGAAAGATATTGATGTAGGGTTTGTTGTGCTTCATAAACATACTCTTAAAGTACATTAAAAAATTTTTTAAATTTATTTTATACGCTCTATATATATTGGAAAGGCTCTTGAACTGAACGCTTAAAAATAGTCTAGCCTTTGCAGTGTTGTAAAAATCTTGACATCGGATTATCTGAAATGAAAAACTCGAATAGTTCTATGATCACAAAGCTACAGCAACCGGTGGTAGCAGATTTTTTTATTTACAAGCAAATATAACAAAATGGCGTCAGTTGAAAAAAAATGATCAAAAAAATCTCATTTTTTGTCAAAAAAAAAAAGTAGTTAAAATGAAAATTTTTTTATAAATCTGCTACCACCGGTTGATATATGTGTATAGATTATGTGGTAAAAATTTCAGACAAATCAAATAGCTAGTTTTGGAGATTTTTACAACACGCAGTTCAAAAATGTGATTCCGAGAAAAACGCATTTACAGTGTTTTTAAATACTTTTTTTACCCGCGCACGGGTAGATTCGAGGGACGAAAAAGTACAGTTAGGATGCTCTGATCGTTTTGAAATTTTCAGAGAGTATTCTTAAATATATCTACTTACGAATAATCGAAAAAAAAAAATTAAAAAAAAAATTACAAAGTAGAATCCTGCCTTAAAATCGTTTGTTCTATTCGGTGATTTTTAGTTTCTAGCAAAGCTTGTGCTTTTTTGGGCAACGTTGGATGTCCTTCATCTTTCAATAATAATAATAACTCCGAGATAACATTTAATTGAAGACTATTTATATTTTTTACAGCCCAGTTTCGCAGTTTTTCTTGGAAACTTACGTTTGAATTCGTATCAATTTCTACGACACCATTGCGATTATCACAGTCACTACTTTGTGAAGTCCCAGAAGGGGATGTCAACGAACAAGAACAATTTCAAAGATAATTTCTTTTGACTCGGTCACGCTACCAGCGTTTACTCGGTCAAAAGAAGATGTGCCCTGTTTTGGGTCAATCTGTAAAGCCAGACTTTACCCGGGATCTGGGCTAAGAGAGAGAGTAACCCACCAAACGAGTAAATGATAGTGTTTTATCCGATGTTACTATTGCTTTAAGATGTTTAAGATTTCCTGGAAGATTGCCTTTCCTTGGTCGTTTTATCGTCAGACCCCTAAAGCTGCTCGGGTTCCGTACTGCTAGCGCCGTGTAGGCAGGCAACAGGATTTGTGTATGATGAGGAAATTAATTCAACTTTGCACAAACACTTYCAATTTTACGAAAATAACAGTATATTACTAAATAAAGTTAAAATTACACAAGATCTTTATTAACAGTAAAGCAAAATAAAGTACTAATATGGCTAAGTTAGAAGTTAAGTTTAGTCGCGAAGAGTAAGTAAACGATAGATGCTGTAAATCGCTAACAAAGTAAAGGCTAATTTTTAATGCGAACTCTACTGCGGAATATGGTAGACWGCCGGCAGGGAAGAACAMAGTTTTTCCCGTCGGGCCCGATCCGAAAGGGTGGGAACACCTCYCMCTTGCGCAAAATACYTCCCTCACTACCMACTTTCATTYGRTAAACTGCAGATTTTGGGATATTACATGCTGCTGACTACGATTCCTCGAAATGGAAAAATATCAGTTTCTATCAACTGTGGATTCTGCTAATTTAGAAAAATATCGTTTTTCGTCTAAACAGATATCAGTTACGGTTACCCGTAGATTTTACAAAAAGTCACGCGCGTTCTATCTTTGAAGCGTGATCTCAACTGTAGTCAGYAAGAAAGTRGATACTGTAGGACTGCAAAAGTCTACCCTTTACTTACTTTCTCACGATCATGAACGACAATGGATCCTTGCCATCACATTTACGTGTGATCAACTAATGCCAATATCGATGGTCGTTCATGAAAGTGGGGATAAGACAAAATTAGGAGTACAAATTTTACAAGGTACGAATATAGCTAAAAAGTAATCGACTAACAACTTACAAATAGGACACTCGCATAATTGGCGTAGCAAAGTTCGAAATTAGTCGTCACTGGGACGTGACACCTCCCCCCTTAAAGAGAAGCGTTAGGGAATTTATTCCCTAGGGCTTCGCCACCCGCGGATTTTCTGAAAGAGTTCATTGTCCATTTGGAACCGCACTTGCTTACCGGATGTATCGTCGGTTTGGGAGCTGCTTGTGGCCCTCAACGTTTGAGGTCTGTCAGCCACGCTGCAGGTTGGTTGTTGCTGCCCCGTGCAGATTTCTCGAAGTTCGGTTCCCTCTTCCATTTTCGATGTAGATTTAAAGTCCCTTCTGGTCTTCAAGTGGAGGAGTAGGCCAGTTATGGAGCCCCAAATAGCACCTAATAGGTGTATGCTCCACCTATACACTGTGTGTAAGGCGTAGCCACGCAGAATAGAGTCGATCACTAACTTAACTAGTTTGAATATAAATACAATGCCCAATATTGCAGCACTGACTGACCCGAACTTCAAAAGTCCGTTCCACACTCGTGACGTTACACTTTCCGCAAATTTGTTTATATCATGTTCACTCACAAAGTTCATTAAGTTCAAAGTTTCTGTGGGCACCTTTTGTCCTTCTGCTCCATTAAATTTCGGTAAATCCAGACTTGGAAGACGAGGCCCATAATGATGAACAGGAAATTCTATATGACTGGTTACCGATGAACTACTTTCGGCTTGCTTTCGTTGATCATACAAAATATTCATCCTTTCCAACGCTTCTAAATAAGTATCGTAGGTGGCACGGTAAAGGTCGTCCTTGAAATATTAAAGCTTTAATACTTCTTCCTTTTTATCTTCACTTAATCGCCTTATTGCAATTTTTATAGCATCATGAGTAACAGAAAATTTGCTCCAAGTGTCTTGCAATGC